TCCCTCGACCTGCTGGCCACACTCTTTTTAATGCACCCCAGGATGCCATTGGCCTTTTTGGCCACAAGGGCACACTGCTGGCTCATGGCCAACCTGTCGTCCACCAGGACACCCAGGTCCCTCTCCGCAGAGCTCCTCTCCAGCAGGTCATCCCCCAACCCGTACTGGTGCATGCAATTATTCCTCCCCAGATGCAAGACTCTACACTTGCTTTTGTTAAACCTCATCCGGTTTCTTACTGCTCAGCTCTCCAGCCTATCCAGGTCTTGCTGAATGGCAACACAGCCTCCAGGCGTGTCAGCCAATCCTCCCAACTTCGTATCATCAGCAAACTTGCTGAGGGTGGCCATTATCCCCTCATCAAGGTCATTGATGAAGATGTTGAACAAGACCGGACCCAGCACAGACCCCTGAGGAACACCGCTAGTTACTGGCCTCCAACCAGACTCTGCACCACCAACAACGACCCTCTGTGCTCTGCCAGTCAGCCAGTTTTCAACCCAACTCACTGTACACTCATCTATCCCACACTTCCTCAGCTTTGTTATAAGGATGTAGGTTCATATCAAGCAAACAAAAATTCTAAAATTTTATTCACTAATTAGAAACCTTAATTTCATCAGCTGCTACGTATATTTCTGTTTCATTTCCGTTTGATGTATCTTTAACAGAATCAGCATGATGGCACTGTTTTACATCCATATTGCTGCCTAGGGACCTCACTGCTGGGGAATTGGAAGAAGACAGTTTTAAAGCACACCTCCCAGCAGAATGCACAGATAATTGCATTATGTAGAGAATGGAAGGAATTGCTTTAGCAAGTGAGATAGTTAATTGGTTTTTTTGTTTGTTCGTTTGTGCTTTAAAAAGAAACAACAAAACAAGCCTCCTTCCTATATTGTCAATATTTGCTTGTGGGCTCTATAAAAACTAGTAACATTTCAGAGATCATGAACTTCCGGAGTATGTGTGTGACTGTCTGGTTAATAATTAATCTGCAGTATGAGTAATTGCAAATACGATTTAGTAAAATAAATCATTTGGGTTGGACTAATTCAACAAGAACTGGTGTAAATGTCCTTTATTCATGCATGTTATTTGGCTCTTGACAGCACAAAGACATGTCCGTTCAGCCCTATTTCAGGCACAAGGAAAAAGATCTAAATCATTAAAACTGAGTAAGGACCATGTGAGACTTGTAAAGGCAGTTGTAGAACAGAAACAAGGAAGTAGATATAAGCTGTCACCTGAAGCTAAAATATTCTGTTTGGTTTGATTAATCAGGCAAAGTACATGGATAACTCCTAAAGCTGATACAAGGCACAATAAAAGAGAAAAAAAAAAAAGCAGGAATACAGAAAAGAATCCTCCAGATCTACAGGCCCATATGAACTCCTTCCTCTGCAATCAGCCTGGCTTTAGAGTTTGGGGTATCATTCAGATCACCAGGATTTGCTTTGGGTTTTCTGGATATCTAAGCCAAAACTTAGGATCCCGGGGAGGTGCTGTGGCTTAAAATTCTCTTGCTTTTGCATAGAAATGTTCAATAAGCAGTTCTCAGAATCAGATAACAATGAATTTTAACTCTGAGGCCCCATACAAATAATGAATATTCCAGATATTCTAGGCAATGCTAGGCAGAACTGGGAAAAAGAGCTTCTTGTCCTCTTTTCATAGTGACTCTGTTTTGAAAAATACTTGGAACCAAAACTATACGTGTTTCAACATGCTGTGGAATTTAATTTTCTTGAATAACAAATTTTAAAAAGTTTAGGAAGAAGGGGGTTCAGTGTAAGTGAAACTGTTGTTGTAATAAGCCTCAAACTGGAAAAGAGGTTGATTCTCACCTTCTCCACCTGCTGTGGTAGAACTAGAGTCTGGCTTTCAAAAACAGTTTTAGAAACTCAAATATTAAGAAGCAGATGTTAAAAGAATATTATAACATAGCTAATAATCCCACAAAACAAAACAAACAAACAAACAAACAAATCTGTGTACGAGAAGTTACACTGCGCAAATGATCAGCACACATGCATTTCATCATTTTGCCTACATGCACAAGTTCTGAGTCAGAAGTAATCACTGAAACATGCTACTTTTGCCAAGCACTACCTACTTTGCTCTGCTATTAATATCGCTTGTGATGCAAGAACTCCCACCCATTTCTGAGAACAGTGCAGGCAGTCTGATAACTCACAGGCTTCAAGCTGCCCTTATAAAGTTGTTCCACTTTTGCATACTTCCTCATACTGCGAGTTTCTCTGCAAAGATGAAGCAGCTTGTTTACTTAGTCTTGCTTAAGACAGCTCTCCTGGCTTTAACAAATGTGTTTGCAGTTATTTTAGAAGAAGAAAAGGATGCTAAGGAAGAAAAAACTACCAGTACTTGCCCTATAAAGCTCAAAACTAATGGGAATTGTGATGAAGGAGAGGACTGTCCGTATCAGCTAAATCTGCCGCCAATGACCATCCAGCTACCCAAACAATTCAGACTGATTGAGAAGACTCTCAAGGAAGTACAGACCCTTAAAGAAGCAGTAAACAAGCTGAAGAAGTGCTGCCAAGACTGCAAGCTGCAGGCAGATGACAACCAAGAAAGAGACAGAAGTAATGAATTCCTTCCACCTAATGCAGAAACTCCAGCAGAAATCCAAGATAACAGAGTAAAGGAACTGCAAAGCAAAGTGAACAGAATGGCAACCAGTCTAAAAAATGCAAAGAACCAGATTCAGACACTGCAAGGCCGTTTAGAGAAGATGAGCCTTGTGAATATGAACAATGTAGAACATTATGTAGACAGCAAAGTTGCTAATTTGACGTTTGTTGTGAACAGTCTTGATAACAAGTGCTCTTCTCAATGTCCAGCAATGCAGCCAAGCCCTGGTATGTAACCTGTTTGTTCTTACTGCCTGCGACATAAGCTTTCTGTGCATTTTACAAATACTAGGTAAAGAAATTAAATATGTGTTAGTCAAGTATCTGTGCTTCTAACTTTACAACATAAGTATTTGCCCATTTACAGTTTGTTTATATTCCTGTGCAACTTTCCACCTGCCAGCAGAGGGTTACTGAGAGTTGCAGGTGTTCAGTTCCTGCTGTGGCTGTTCCTTATTACGGAACCTAAATCACAACATTTTAAAGGACATTTTTTCCCCCATTCTAATAAGTAATCATGAAAAATGAAGGCATTCGTTTACACCATTCATGAAGGATATCAAATATCAGTGAACTACCTGTATTTTCTCTTTGGCTGTCGGGGGCAAATTTCCTCCTTAGGTATGCCTGACAGTATTGCATGTTTTTTTCAATGTGAAACTGCAGCTATTCTGAAATAGTCCACAAGTCCATTATTAAATATCAAGTGGATCTAGTAAAATGTTTAGTTCTTAAGAGATGGATAATTAAGTTTTCTAACGGCACAGCAAATATCAGAAAGGCTTCACTAAGAAAGCTTATTAACTATACTTTTTAAGTGGGTAATATATATACCCCCATTTGAATATGTAACCTTTAGTATGACTCCAATATTTAAGTAATATAAAATAGAAAACACGAAGTGTTAACACTGACAAATGCTTTTTCTTTCACTTCTTACCTGTTCTAATTAAAATAAAGAATAGTATTTCTTCCTGATGTTCACCATTCATAAAGTATGACTAAAATATTTTTTGCAAATTCATGTAGTTTTCTATAACATATAAGAACTTTTGCAAACAAGAAATATCCACAATATTATAAGTGTATTCTAGCACCTAGATATTATACATGTGAAGACAGGGGTCTCTACAGGCAAAATAGAGAAATGACAGAATGCACTTCAGTTTTTAAACCCCTGTGGTTTAGCATTCCCACTTCAAAATGAAACTGTTCTTCTGTCTGCCCATAAAAAACTGAACAACTGAAAACTGGTACAGTGTGTGTACAGTTGAAATTCCCAAAAGAGCAAAAAGAGCAAATGAATAATAACAAAGGTAATGCTTTGACTGTATCAACAATCAGCTTCAAACAGATACAAATCAGTATAAATTAATCACTGCAATTCAGATATAAAGCATTCACAGAAAGAATGAGTGGTATCTAGTCTGTTGATAATGGGCAATGAATCACATTCAGGCACAGTAGCTCTTGATGGGCTGAATTCATTTTAGATGTTTCTCTTTCTTAGTGAGCTGTTGGGTACTATTCACAGCACAGCACACAATCATGTAGATGTTCCTTTCATTCTACAGCAACTGATGTTATAGATAGAAAACTAGCTACAACTTTTTCCCATATAAAATTTTTTCCTACCTCTTCTGAAAATTGCAACAAAGCTTTATTTAAATAGGAGTTGAATTGGATTATAAAGTGCATTTCAGCTGAAATGAATGCTCCCTGTCAGTATCTGCTCTGAAACTTAGTACAGTAAGGACCTTACACAAGTGAAATAAATGAGAATCAGTGTCTAAATGGTTTTGACTCAGAGCTGACAGATGGAAAGATCTCTATCATTTCTTTAGGAACAAGGAATTACAGTACAATGCATTCTGAATACTATTGAACACAATGTCATTACTAAGTAGATCAAAAAAGGATTTTTACTCTGCAGGAAGCATCTGGGGGTGATTTTCTTCTGAATAAAATGTACCATTGAGAAGGGGAAAAACTGTGTTAATGGCAGATGCCAAACCTTTTTTCCTTACTTTAAGGCCAGTAGTGTCCCATACACAGGAAAGCACTTAACTTTTCTAGCTTCATCTTTCTAGGAATTTGTAGTATTACTACAATAGATGAGATAATTCTATAACATTTCTCCTGCTTCTTTAATTATTGTAATATTAACACATGAAAGATTCCTAATGATGCAATGTTCTGAATCAAACTGTGGCTATTGAAAAACAGCCTGCTTAAAGTTATTCCCATATGAACAAAGATTTTCTCTGACACACTGCCAGATAAAGATTTGAATTACAGACACAGAGTGATGCTGTACAGTGAAATATTACCAAAAAAAAAAAAAAAAAAAAAAAAAAGGAGCAAGATTTAGAAATATGGACTGAAGAAACTAACATGAATTTATTGGAGATGACGAAAGGATGAGGAAAAGGGTAGAGAAAATGAGAAAAGTGGAACCCAATGGCCAGTTTTGAGTTAAAAACAAACATCATCATTTAAATGGTTTCTGGTAGTCACTTGATGCAGAGATCTTAGCTGATATCTATTACAGAATGAACTTGATGGAGAAAAAGTTTGTTCCTAGAACTGAAACTGCAGCAACACTATTTCCTATCTAGAAGTCTTTCCAATCCAAAAGACTGAACATATGCTTATACCTCTTCCAAACAGATTTATTGGTCTCCACTCACTAGATGTACTAAAAGTAGATCCAAGTCGAAAATCATGGCAATGTAACAAGTTTAGATAATATTTGACTTTTCTTATTTAACCATAGCTGTGGGAATTATGAACTTGGTAAGAAAAAGAGCCTATATGAAGAACAGATAACAATAGAGTCTGCACAGCATTTAATATGTTCTGTAGGCCACATCAGTCTGGATAAAATTTTTGCTTGTTTTTAAATTGATGCTGTGTTTAAACTTACAATCTCTGTGTTTTTCCACCAGTTATACAAGTAATGCAGAGAGACTGTGCAGATCATTATGCAGCAGGCAAAAGGAGCAGTGGTATCTACCCTATTACCCCTGACCCCAGAAACAGCACCTTCCAAGTCTACTGTGACATGGAAACACAGGGAGGTGGCTGGACAGTGCTGCAGCGGCGTCAGGATGGTAGCACTAATTTCAACAGAACGTGGAATGACTACAAACATGGCTTTGGAAACCTCAGCAGGGAGTTTTGGCTGGGGAATGACAAAATTCACCTCCTGACAAAAAGCCAGGAAATGCAGCTGAGAATTGACCTTGAAGATTTCAATGGTATCAAGGAGTATGCCAAATACCAACATTTCTACGTGGCCAACGAGTACCTGAAGTATCGTCTCAGCGTTCACGGCTATAGCGGCACAGCAGGAGATGCTCTCCACTACAGCAGGCATTACAACCATGACCAGAAGTTCTTCACAACTCCTGACAAGGACAACGACAGGTATGCATCAGGGAACTGTGGTGCATTCTACAGCTCTGGCTGGTGGTTCGATGCATGCTTGTCAGCCAACCTCAATGGCAAGTACTACCACAAGAAATACAAAGGTGTTCGCAATGGAATTTTCTGGGGCACGTGGCATGGTATTTCTGATGATACTCCCAGTGGATACAAGCAGTCCTTAAAATCAGTAAAAATAATGATCAGACCCAAAAGTTTTGCACCATAATTTTAAACCTTTTCTTAACAAATTTGCATTGGATTGCACTCAAGATCATACTTATTCAGTATTATATTCAGAATTCAAATATTCAGTTATATTTGTCATAACATAGTTCTAAACAAAGTAACATATTTCCACATGCATTTCTAGAGATGGTGTTTCCCGTTTAACATATGGAAGACAACAATTGTTGCTAAAACTTAGCATAGGTTAAGTTGTGGTATTGTAACCTAAATATTCTAAACATTGCTTTTGGTGTCTTTACTGTATGTGATACATCTTCTACAAATTGTGTCTGAATGAACACCTGCATTTTTACCTGGATATAACTCAGAGGTATTCTGATAACACCCTAATTTGTTAAACGCTTAGTATGAAACATTATAACTTGCATACTGCCCAACACTTTCTACTGTCTTTCCTTCACAACCTCAAAGACGTACTATGGGAATGTCAAAATAAATTAGGAAAAGTATGATACGTTATTATATTAAAAGGAGAAGAGAATAGAGGCCATGTGATTAGCACAAAGACACACAGAAAAAAGGTTGAGGAATACTTAGACTGTGAATATTTGTCCTAAAACATTATTCCCTTTGTCAAAAACTATTCGAACAAGCTGGTGAAAGAATTGGATAAAAGCAAGTGAAAATAACACCTAGAGAATGTAATGAAAGACCCTTCATGCTTGTTTTCTTCTGTTCAACCTCAATATCCTTTCCATCTTATGTGGGAGAAATAAATCTCTTGTAGATGATCACAGATTTATATAGGGGAGTGGACAGGTAGGAAGAAGACACATCGAGAAGAATCCATGTGTTTGTATTAATCCCTCTAAATACATACAATAAATACATTTTGCTTTCTTTTCTGAATCTTTTAGGCGAGCCAGACATTGCAAGATGACACTTGTAGGGACTCAAGCTCTTATTTAAGTACTTCTCACTATATGTATCATTAGGTCTTAAATTATACATAAATTTTATTTTGTAACACAAGATTACATTCTCCCCATTTTCTGAGTACTGCTTTTGCAATGAAAGAATCGTGAGTAATCCACTGGCCATTAGACGCAGAAAAGAGAACATGCAGAGGGCTTTTTTCTTCTAAAACATAACAAAAGAAACAGGGCACTTTTCTGATTGCACTTTGGGAAGTGCAATTTAAAGAAACTGTTATTATATCCCACATTGTAGATAGCAAGCACAAATTTGCCTTCACATACCTATTGTCTATGCTAGAAAAGACATGTCTATAATTACAGTGACTAATATTCTGAAAGGACATGCCAAATATCTTAGCATGAGGTATTTTGCTATATAGCTAATAGCAATTCTCAGATGCAGATAAACTATATAAAGACTGTATTTCTTTACTGGTAGAAGTATGGTTTTTACTGGCATAGCATTTCTTGCTAGAAGAGCCATTTGTTGGTAACAGTAAACAACAGAACTGTGCTAACAAACCTATGGGCGCACATCTGGCCTAAAACTTAACAAATCAGACTTTAATTGTTTTTAAGATAATATCCAGAACTATCATGGTTACAGGCTATGGACATGAGCAAAAGTGGCAATTGCTAAATAGCACAGTATTAATATATATATTTGAGGGAGTAAATACTTTGAAGGATATTTCAGTGTGAAGAGTAATTTGGTTTATTGTATTTCAATTTTAAAGACTAATGGAAGATTTTAATTGTAAGATGTATAACCGGTGCTTGAAAATGTTTTGAAGTCATAGAATATTTATTTTCTGATAAAATGGATTGTCTAAAAAAAACAACAAAAAAGCAATTTATGAAATATTGGTTAGAAGAGCAAATATATAATTGTGTGTGATTGTATTTAATAATTTTGCACGAAATGCACAATTTTCTCCTGTTCATTACAAGCTAACTAGCTCTGTATGATTTACAGTACCTATAAGCTTCTACTTGAAAATGTCTTTTTCCTGCTAATTTGTTGGGAGGGAAACTGTTTCTTTTTTATCGTGCTAAAAGGAAAAATCGTAAAAATGAAATTTCATCAGGATAAACAAATATGATTAATGCCAAACAAAAAAAATATCTAAATCTTATAAAAAAAAAAAAAAAAAAAAAAAGGAAAAAAAATAACAACAAAAAAAGAAAGCCTGCCTGGAACTGTTGTACCTGAATCTCCAGCAATGTGTATTAGTTTTACAAAGTGTAACTCCATCTATTTGTTGCAAGCTTTATTTTATAGTTTTCTTTGTTGTAAATAAAATTGTCATGCTATTAAAGCTATACTGTTGTCATAAATTTTTACAGGGACTAAGAAAAAAGTTCTCATAAATGGTTTACTGATTTTTTGTAAAAATTGAAGCAGTCAGAAAACAAAGGTATAGGAAGATAACTACAGATGGTCTGCAAAGATATACATGCCATGTGACAGGAGAGTTACAGAATTGCTGTCAGCAATAATTTTTAATGGATCCATTCAGCTGCCAGGTAATGCATAGGCTCTTCTTGAGGCTATACATATTTTGCAAGAGAAAAAATCAATTGCCTACTCAAGTGTTTTTACAACATGTATCTTTGTCATGAAACAGGAGACAGAAACTCATCTGCTTTTTTAATTATGCACATTTCAGAAAACATTCAAGTTTCAGGAAAGCGTGAGGATAGATATAATACTCAAAATTTAAGCATACAATTTTATATACAAATCAGAGCACTGGTCTCTGAGACTTTATAAATAAAAACATGTATTTTAATGTACAGAAAGCACCTATGTAACAAAGATTATCACAAGAAAACCTTGCGGCTTTGATCTTGCTAGTATTTAAAATGTGAGTATTAGTAAAGATTAGTAACAGCGGGTTTGCTAGCAAAATTCATATGAGTTCCACTCCCCCCCCCCCCAAAAAAAAAACCCATAAATCCATCTGTTAATCGTGTAATTGTATAATTAATAAAGCAGGCTGTAATATCTTTGTTTTCTGTGCAACATTTAAACAACAACAACAACAGCAACAACAACAACAAACAACAGAGAAGAACTGAAAAGAATTAATCGTCATAGAATCCTAGAATGGCTTGGGTTGGAAGGGACCTTAAAGATCCTCAAGTTCCAAGTCCCTGCCAAGGCAGGATTGCCAGCCTGTAGATCAAGCACTTGACCAGGCTGCCCAGGTCCCCAGACAGGCTGGCCTTAAATGCCTCCAGGGACACAGCTTCCACAGCCTTTCTGGGCAAACTGTTCCAGCACCTCACAGCTTCCTCAGTTAAAAACTTCCCCCCAAAATCTACTCTAAATATCCTGTCCTTTAGCTTAATACCTTGTCCTAGCACTATCTAGCCATGTAAAAACCACATTTCCCTTGTGTTTATAAACTTCTTTTAAACACTAGAAGGCTGCAATGAGGTCTCCCTGCAATTGTCTCTTTTCCAGGCTGAACAACCCCAGTTCCTTCAGTCTAACTTCATAGGAGAAATGCTTCAGCCCTTGTACAATCCTCATGGCCCTCTTCTGAACCCTGTCCAAAAGCTTCTCCTACTCTTGAGCTGAGGGCTCCAGACCTGGACACAGTACTCCAGATGGGGCCTCATGAGAGCAGAGTAGAGATGGACAATCACCTCCCTGTCCCTGCTGACCATCCCTCTTCTGATGGAGCCCAGGATACCACTGGCCTTCTGAGCTGCAGGAGCACACTGATGGCTCCTGTTCAGTTTTTCATCAACCAGAACCCCTAGATCCTTCTCAGGGCTACTCTCAAGGAGTTCTTCTCACAGCTTGTATACATATCTGGGATTACTTTGACTCAAGTGCAAAACCTCATCTGAAGAGCTGAAGATCTAAAATGATTGTTTTTTAAATATTTTTTTCTGTCCTTTTAATGCAAATACATTCCCTTAGTTGTGTTTTTGGGGAAACACTGCAGTCAGCTGATATTTCTGTAAGATTTAAGAGCAACTTATAGTTTGACACTTCAGTGGAAAATAAATTTGCAGCTGTACAATTATTTATGAAGGAAATTCAGATGGTTCTCAAACACATACCTAGAACCCATGTTTGTGACCTAAAGCAAGATCAGTTTTAAAAGTGCCAAATTAACTTAATTTCTATGTCATGCAAGTCATAAAAATAAAAAAATAAAAAAAATTAAAAAATAATAAAAAAAAACCACCAGCAATAAAAGAAAAAAAAACAGCAAAGGTGTTAAAGTTTTCACAGAGATTGAAGACAAGAAATACAATCTGACCTATGGGGAAAAAAAAAATATATATATATATATATTATATATATATATTATATATTATATATATATATATATATAAAAATCTACTCTTATAAATACGTTTTGTCCTCTTTTTTTTTTCCCAAGAGATAAAATAAAAGCAATATGGTCTACATGGGCCTGAAAACGCTGACATATGTTTAAGAGAAAAATTCCATTCACAGTCCCTGATAAATGCAAACACTCCACCTACTAAGCAGCTAGGCTGCATTCACAGCATTCATGAAACTGCTATGGAGTTATAATATTTCTGTTAGAAGTGAATTTGGCCATCAGCCTCAGTGTTAACCAGAAACAGAAAATGTTTTAAGATGATGTGTCACATTCAACGCTCAAACAAGTCATGAGATTAGGATGTGAATCAGTTATTTTTGAAGTCCTTGTTTACTATTTCTGATCTCAGTATTACCTAATTATGTCCACACAATTAAGACAAACTGTCAGTCTGGTGGTACGCCTCTGCCCAAACAGTATGCCAGCATTCAGAATTACACAACAGAAAATTGTATGTATGTTTTAAGTGCTGATTTCTAAGAATTACACAGAACTTATGACTTTTACAGAGAAGTAGGATACACCCTGAGAAACAGAAATTCCCATCCCTCTGTTTGGGCAGAGCATAAAAATCCCTGTGCATACCTCTGCAGTTTACCCAAAAGATAATTAATTCTTCTTAACACAGATCTTAAAGGCTCTGCTCACTTATGAGTATTTGGATACATAGATTTTTTTTAATTAGAAAACTAGAAATCAACGTGTTAACATTGTAAGTAACCAGATCTATAAACGTGATGACTCTCCATGGCTGGACACATAACTGAAGTGAGCATTGCTCTGGCTTCCTCACAACGCAGCTGTGTTGACATCAATAGTCTAAGCCAACGCCAGATAGATTTTAGCACAAGGGTGCCCTAGTTTGGGATATCTGGTCTCATATGCATATTTAGAGTAAGAACAGGGGCAGAGGGAGATAGCTTTGGAACAAAAGACAATAATGAACTTGTCTTTTTAAGTCTCAAGGGTGTCAGAAATTTCAGTGGAAAGGTGAAAGAGCAAGAGGAGAATACAGTTACAGATTATTCTTTCCTTCAGCCTTACTGCCTTCAGGAGCTATTTCCTGTGTGTGGCACAAGATCTGCACTTGATAGCAAAAAATAACAACACATTGACAAGGGTGCTCACTTTCAAACATGCTGTTTGATAATCAATAGAAATACTACTTGCTTTGTGATAACCTCATTATATTCAACAGCCTCCTGGGTTTATTTATACTCAATTTCAACTGACAAAAATAATCTCTCTATAGAGAGAGCATACTATATTGAGTCTGTTCTTGCTTGTGTTGGTTAAAGGCACCTGTAAATTCAATCCACTCCTTTACAGCTTCTAATAGGTATTACCTATTACAATTAGAGCAATCAGTTTTCCCATCACAGTCACTAATCAGAGTTTAACGTTCACTATGCAGAACACTGCTTACCAGCTGAAAACTTACAGCCACATTACCGTCCCTAACTGACTTTCCAAGTGACCATATCAACAAAGTAAAAAATGTTTGCTTAATTAACAGTTAGATTCCTGTGGGTGGAGGTGGAGACAACATCTGTCCTCCCTGTCTGCGCCAACAGATTTATATAGCTCTTTTGCTGTGCCAGAAGCCCTTGAAGCACGTAACGTGGAATACGCCAGGATTGGCTTAAGTTATAAAATGTTGTTTGCATTCAATGGTTGTGTTAAGATTTTTATATATGTATAGCATATACACGTTTGAGGAAAACTCAAACAAATTAGCCACTGTTGTGGTTACAGAAATATACTTCTGAAGTCTATTTTAGTCTACCAAGCTAGCTTTTATAGGAAAAGTTCCATTTAAAGTTATACCAATGTTTTTTATCTAAAAATAAAGTTGTTTACATCTGCCTTTTAACCTGAGTTAAGAATGAACTAAAGTTAGATGCTCTATTTTATAGAGTGGCATTGTCAGATGTTAGAATATTTAAAAAAAAAAAAGTAAATTAATTGATCTTAGTTTTCATATTTGAAAGCTGTAGCTGAAGTTCAAATAACAGATGAAAAAGAAGCATACTCAAGCATTGAACGTATGAATCCTTCTGTGACTTTAAAGCTCTTCCAGCTAACAGACCCATATGAATTAGCCTTGCACCAGCAGCAGTGAAACTTGTTTGAGAATTCTCTGTCACTACATTATTCCATCTTTTGTAAGCACAGAGACTTTGCTCTATGTTTCCAGTAGAACCAGAAATCTGGTTAACAGATATTAATGGTTTTAATAACAGTTCGTCTTTTTTGGCAGTCAGGGATAACTGACTGTTCAGCTCCATAACCTCAGAAAGAGTTCAAAGATTCAAAATAGGGATGAAAAATATTTGCTAATCACTAATAGAGTATTGTGGAAGGCTCTTTCTCCTTCCTGGTGGATAGTGGCAATAGGATGCTTGGACACTGGCAAAAAGTAACGCCACATGATAATGACAATTTCCATTAAAAAAAGCAGTGCAAATGGAAGATACAGTGCTGCCTTCAAATATGGTGCAAAATACATTTTATCATTCTACAATACAGAGTACACCAGTCTGCATCAGACCAACCAGAGAAATCTCCCAAAGGAGTTTGTTCTTCCGCAGGTTCAGATTCAGCACATAAATGGACTGTGTTCATCAGCAGAAAGGGATTACTGTGGTAATTTCCAAATAAGGTACCAATTCACTGCCTCCGGTAAATAATAAAGTTATTTTTATTCAGAAGCATTTTACAGAATGAATAACTCTCTTGTAATGTCTTCTACAAAGATATGCATGATAAATATTGTAGAATACTTCTACAATTGTTTAAAAAATCGATGTATGCCTTTGAGAGAGCTAACAAGTATCTTTCTAAGCCAAGAGCACACCAGCAAATGGAAGAGAAAGCACAACGTAGAAAAGCTTAGAGACATTACTCTTGAACATAACCCAACAAGAACTGCTGACAAGTGAAGAAGGCCCCAAGCTGGGGGAAGTTACCCTCTCGCCATTTCTTCATCCTTTATCTTTTTTTTTTTTTCTTTTTTTTTTTTTTTCCCCAGAAAAACAGGATTTCCGTAGAATCATAGAATCACCAAGGTTGGAAAAGACCTCTAAGATCATCCAGTCCAACCATCCACCTATCACCAGTATTTCCCACTAACCCATGGCCCTCAGTACAACATCTAAACTTTTCTTGAACACCTGCAGGGACAGGGACTCCACCACCTCCCTGGGCATCTGTGTCACTGCCTGTCCACTCTTTAGAAGTAGGATTTCCTAACGTCCAATCTGAATCTCCCCTGGCACAACTTGAAGCCATTCTCTCTCATTCTTTTGCTAGTTACATGGGAGAAGAGGCTGACCCCCACCTCACCACAACTTCCTTTCAGGTAGTCTACATGTATTTATAAAAAAACAGCATTAACTAGACAGAATAAAAAGATACTAGTCCCTCAAACTAATTTCTTCTTCTTGAAAGAACCTGAAGAATACTGAGTTTTGGACAGTCATTTCAATAAGAAAGATGAAACAACATATTTTGTAAGCAGATCATCAATTTTATCAAACCTTTGTAATTTTATAAAGATATATAGTAGCTGGAAAATTGTTCCTAGAATGTAGCTGTCAATTATTCACTATCAAATTGAAAAGATGTATAGAGTAGAGCTCTTTTTTATATGCAGGATTTAATCTTAATTGGGTTAAAAAACAAACAAACAAACAAAAAAAAAGGCCTAAGTATCTGAAAAGGATTTGGAGATTATAATAGGTTACAAACTGAATACCAGCAGCATCATTATGACAACAGACACACAGACATTCATTAATTTATGTTCTTATTAAAGGAGTCTGGATCAAGTGGAAGAAAGGAAAATAATTAGTGGGAAATAATGCTGGTATAGCACAGGGAAGAGCCAAAATTATGAGGAGAGAAATTATGAGAGTAGGAGGAGGCAATTTGTTTGTAATTCATTTCCATTGCCTCTGCTCTCTTCATTTTGAGCATTTATACCAGTTTTGTGTCATGCTTGGTAGATTTTTCACTGCAAATGGCAATTTCAGTATCTCCTGTGTTGTTATAGCAGTGAAAGTAATGTCCTTGTGATGACACAAGGATAGAGAGTTGCAGGTAGAGGTGAAATACATAATTGTAACATCTGTTGGAAAAGAAAGCAATTTGAAAGCAAAGAAAGAAAGACTAGCTTCAGACTAGCATTTTGATGAAGCTAGTTACTAGTAGAACATTTATTTTATAAATTTGTTAATATATCTTAAAACTGAGATAATGGACATGACAAAATTCAATATATTTGCATTGCTTTCAAGAATACAGTTGCATATACCTAGTCCATAATGCACAAAATTCAAAACTGACTAGCAAAGTGTATAGAATCTTTATGTAGCATTTATCCAAGTGGTGTATTTGTTACATACTGTAGGTACCAGAATGTGTAGTTTTCCCTTACACTTATTCACATCATACAGATTTATTTATTTCTAAAAGTATATACTAGAAGAGAACAGGATTATCAGTTAAGATACATGAGACAGGAGAATCAATTAGAAGTGTTAGAGCAAAAGTTGTTATTTCAAGGACATAACAGCAAAGGCTAGAAGAAGTGGAAAATTCATTTTTTGAATGTGTGACAGTCCTGTAACCAACAGCAGTGGAAGTACTGAGTTATATTTGATGTCATCTTGGTGATAAATAAAAACGCTTGATGAAAAGAAGCAAGTCAAGATGGACTGAGGGGCTTTTGTTCAAACCTCTAGCCAGCTTTTAATAATTTTCCCAACTCTACATGACTGAACACTGTTACTATGTGTTATTAGAAATGAAGGAGAAAGTTCTGCAAGCTTGATTTTTTGAAATTTCTGCTATTTTCACAAGAAATACATGACTGGTTTGGTTGGAAGGTTTACTGCCAGAAGGACTATATTTGTTCTCAAATAAGTCTTAATATCAAAAGATGCTCCTTCTGATAAGTATTTACTGCTACAAAGGTATAAATGACTAGCTAGTAATTCAGAGAAAATATGATACAAAATACTTTGTGTGGAAAAATTTTGAAATATTCCAAGATTTAATCTAGTATCAATGCAACAACCTCTGTGGTGATCTATTAAAGCACACTCCCTGAAAGGAGCAGCATGGGTATCCATCAGGCACACCATCTCCAGCAAGAAGTATATGCTTGGTCCTTCTTCATAAAACACTCTTATGCCTTAGAACAAAAATTAGAAAAGATAGGAAAGCTACAGATAGCCTGCGGTAATGTGCTTCAACTATGAACAAAAAAAATATACATTTTCACTTATTTGATTTTGACATAATATGCACTGCTGTAGCTAAGAAAACTAGAGTACATGATACCTCATCTAAACACTGAAACGCAGGACTTGATGTTACATCAGTGGATCCTTCATCTCGGGTATATACTGTTGGAGCTAAAGCACAGATAGGTTGCTCCTTTTCGACTTCCAATTCTTTTTCATCGGAACTGGAACTTTCATCACCAGCTTGACTCATTCTCTGGAAATCTAGGAATAAAAATACCAAAATTTGGTTAATTAGGCCCTGGGATACAAGTGACCATGAAAGATAAATATGTAGTGTAGAGAACACAATGTCTACATGCGAGACTCACACATTCGAACAATAAAAACCAGAATGATAGCAATTTGGGATTCTCTGTAAGTTCATGAAAGAGAGGAGACAGCACTACCCCTCTAGCATTGTTTGAGTATTTTAAAAATCCTCAAACAGTTGGCTGAGCTCTCCTTATATAAGCATTTGACAATGTGTAAAACAATACTTCTTAAAGGACAGTCATTGAACAATAGCTCTAAGTTGGAAAATGCTTCAGGAGTCTTCTCTGCATATCAGGGCTTACTTCAAAACTAAATCAAGTTCTTTAGGGCTTTCTTTATCTGAGTTTTGAAAATCTGTTAAATTGGAGACTTTAGCTTCTGCTTTATAAAGAAAACCCCAAGGTAGAACTATTGCAGGTTTCCTGTTGTCTCCATAGTACTAAACAAAGAACTTGTCTCCCCTCATCTCCAGCCACATATGCCACTCTTTGCAGCATCTCCTGATCTTGTGGGGTACCAACACACAGAACAGGAGCCCCTTTGCAGAACACAGAGTTCTTGAGGAAAATACGTGGTCTGACGTGTGTGGGTAATATCATTATTCATGTTCATAAGTCATTGCATGGTCATAATGAACAAAAAAAAGAAAGAAAAAGACAAAACAAAACATCAAAGCCATACAAAATGCAAAAATATGGTATAATATCTGAGAACAAGAGGTAGATATATAATGAAATCTGGCACACAGAAGTCTTGCTGTGCCATAGCAAGACAGGAGAGACAGAGCTTGTTTGTAGAGCAAAATACAGAGGGCAGGGGAGACAGAATATGTATGGAGGAAATCAAGCATTTCTTCACAAGTTCTCTATAGTTGGCTTTAGATGCAGTGGAGAGACAAATCACAATTTGGTATTTCAGTTCAAAATGTGGGGAGAAAGGTTGATTATGACTGCAAGTGTCCACCCGACTCCGACAGTTCTAAGGTAACTATTATGTAAAGCAACACTTGCAGAGAACATTATTTTCTGCTGCAGTAGATAAATGATAGATGATAGATTCTATGATGATAGAACAGGATCCTGACAGATGATAAAATGCTGAACTCACATTAAATTATCTAGTCTTGTCAATATTCTCCTTTAAGAAAATCCTTTTTGTTATAAATAAAAAATCCACAATAAAAATGAGGGAATTTTTTTGTGAGTATTTTAATAGTATACACCAGGTTTCTCCTGATGAAAAACAGGAGTTTTGCATTCCAAAGTCAGAAAACAGACAGCAGAATGTGATTTCTTTTTACAGCTGTGATGGGAAAATGATATAAAAATGTTTTGTTTAGCATAGCCACTTCTTGAAAAATCACTTGTCTATAAAGGTGGACCACAAATTGTCTATAAACCACACTTTATTCAGTGCTGTTTAGAATTCCTTCAAGAACAGTTTGACTTTTAGAGAGATTTCAGCAGTTGTATTTGCTTATGGAAAAAAAGAAAAAGCAATTTCATGGTCACTCCTGAAGGAGTCAAAACATTGTGAAACAGCTGTAAACATCACCAAGGCCAAGAAATAATTCTGAAGCACTATGCATATACACAATTATAAAATGAGACTTGCTTCTCATCTACAAAATTGCTGAATATTTGAGAATACACATTTCACCTTTATGGCTGCTGTTGCTTTACTTGTGCCTCTGCACAAATTTCTGGAAGAAATGAGAAAGAGTGCAAAACGCAAGAGGAAAAAGCTCTAAGCAGAGCAATGCCAAAGACTGGGAGCTTCACCTGTGCAGACATCTTTATTTACAATTTACATGAAACAGACTTTGTGTGAAAAAATACCCAGGTTAACAGCTCTTCACAGTATGACAACCCCAAAAATGTTTTCACCAGAGATTCCATTTTGCTGAGCAAAAGGACAACAAAATCTCCTGAATCTGAAATGCTTGTAATGTAATGATAAGATGCAAATCATCAGACAGAGGAAAACAACTAGACAGCCTTGGCTACTGTAATAAACACTAGTCTCCATTGCTTTTCAAGAAGGAAGGGAACAGATTTGCCTTTTCAAAATATTAGCAAGCAGTACTGTAACAAAAGATACGTGAAGTTTAGCATTCTTCAACTATCCACTATATAATTACATTTAAAATCCAATTCGAGAAAATCACATACACAGAGTTAAAAAAAATAAAGTGGAAAAATAGTATTTTTGCCATATCTGATGAACAGTTTAATTCAAATAGAAATGAAAGCTGAAATGATTTCTAAATTTACAGAGTAGTTCAATAAACATGGATGTTCTTAAACAGAAGAACTGCAAATAACACTGAGGCCTTGAACCAACACAAAGAATTGCTGAGAAAGAGAATTACAAGTCTGCTTTAGAATCCAGGTCATTTCTTGTGAAATAGCTTCAGGACAGCAATAAAAGTCCAAATGCAGATTCCAATGATGAACTCCAGCAACCTTACAGTTCTCTCCAGCAGTCAGCAGCGTTAATACAAAAGCCAGAGAAGAGTATAGAAAGGTCATGTTTAGTTGTACTGGCTCTTTCTAAAATGACAACTGCAAAAAGTAGTAACACTAGTGAAAGCAGTAAAATTTCATTCTGAACATGAAGACATAAAGCTCTATGTATGAAGATGCATCAGCTTTAAGACTTACTAAGAAAGCACCAAATTTATAAAAGTCTCTGCTGGGGGAACTACACTTCATTAACGCTTTACACTTTGTCTTAATTGTGTTATCTCACAAAATAGATCCATTACAGTTAAGCCAAGTTAGTTAAATTGGTGTAGACTGACATTTAAATACTCCAAACCACTAAAGGTTTTCTTGTTTCATACAAGAGCACAAAGCTAAGGTTTAGGCAAGTTTAAAAGAATAGGTGTAAATCCACACTGAGTTGAACCAAGGCCATAGACACGGATCTCCTTCCTGAGCCAGTGATGTCAGTGGATGCTGGGTACCACTGCCTTCCCTTGCAGGAGGAGATACCTTTCTTCTCCCTCAATGCTGACCTGCTGGAGGAATGGCTTTAGGACCATTTTTCAGACAAAATCAGCTAAGGAAGCCTACTATTTTTAAGCCAATGGTATGAGATAAAATGGCTAATTTTGATGGAAGTTAGTCAAGGAGCACATTCCCATCTGTCCTGCTGGCTGAGAGGCAGCACCCAGAGCAGTGAGACAATGAACAGGACCTCGGCCAAGCTACTGGGCATGACACAGGATATTTATCTGCACCTCCATGTAGCTTAGTTTTGCAAACAAATGTTAAAAAAAGAAACATGGCTCTGAGAATGAGACAACTGGCTTAGCGTTTAGTCAGAAAAAAAGTTACACAATTCAGCTGGAACACCAGAGCAATGATACCTAGAGAGACCAAAGCTGGTCTAGCCCATCATACCTCCAGCCAGCACTGGGTGCCAGGGGGCAGACAGAAGAATCCATCAGTGGTGTTTTCCTGAACTTATGCTAAACTGTCAATGTCTGCAAAATCTGACAGAATGGAGTTTCTCATCTTACCTCTGCGTGACATGCATCATCAGTTCTTTTTGTTTGTTTTGAATCTGGCTCTTTGATGTCTCCTAGTTCTTTTGCTGGATGGGTCACATAATAATCTCAACCTTTCAATGCCACTTGTTTTCCAACACAGTCTCTCTGTTTGGTAATCCCTTCTCTAGGCAGAACAACTCATCCTACCTGCTGCTACTGGTAATAAAGTCCTTCTCTGCCTTCTGCTGTCTTTGTCATCCCTCTCCAAGTCTGTTCCAGCTGTATCATATCCTCTTCAAAGAGAGGGACGAGAAAATATTGGTAATATAGGAGTACCGGGGATTTATTCAGTGGCACAGTGATTTTCTTTTCATTTCTTAACATCTTATTTCCTAATGCTTCTTTCCTATAGTTAAAGCTTACAGTCTAGTAAATAGCAGGACCTCTGTACTAACTGGGCAAAGCTTCAGCACTAAAGGCTGTGTCTTTAAAACACAAAGCTATACTAACATTAAGCAAGAGCTGAAATTAAAATTACATAGTTACAATAGGTTATTTATTATTCCATGCAATTCAGAGTACTTTGATTAGACATGTGACTACATAGACAACTATTCTGGGGAGATGTTAACACACTGCATACTTTCAATTGCTTAACAATTCTGTTATGAATTCCATTATTTCTGTTTGTTTTCAAGTCCCTGCTGTTTAGGATGGAATCACCCTGAGCCACCCACAGGCCTCATCTGCTGGAGCCATAGTTAGATACGGATGATTTGAATGGTGAGAATTGTCACTTCCCTTTTCACTTGGTTTCCATGAGGAACTTGATTTCCTCAGAAGATTTCTTGTAGCATGACAAACAAAAAACAACCCTGAAATCTAAGCCTCTGCCCTCTCAACCCTGAGAAGAAACCGTTTCCATCACTACACACACATTGAAACACCAAGCGAAAAAAAACAAAACAAGCTCTGCCTAACCAGCAAGCGCTACTCATGATTTGAAAATTCTGAGGGCTCAAGGAAAAGTGGCAGTTCGGAAAGATATAGAAAAATATAAATTACCAACCACAAAAAATAATTACAATAATGCCATGCAAATATTCTACAGTGGAAATGCATGGAATTTTTAATAAGCTTAAAAACTTATGTCCTGACACTAAAATTCTTAAGCCTTAGCTGAAGAAACATAAGTGAACAGCCAGCTCTAAGTGAGGCTAACCTTGTTCAAGCACCGGGTGTTAAGTCAAAAGACAGGTTCTTGTAGATAGGAACCTCAGCACGAGCTAACACCAGCAAGAATACTTCTGCAGGGAGGATTCAATATGAAATGGAATCAGTGTTACAGCCAAAATAGACGAGGGCTGCTCTGAAAGCAGAGCCTGCTAATTTGTTATGTTGGCCTACAATGTCAGAGGCAGACGGTGGTATGGCAGTAAAATTTGAACCTTCCCACCAATATTCTGTCATATTTTGTTGCTGTGCAATACGTGGCAGCAAAAGGGCAGTCTTGTCAGCATCTGACATGGCAGTATGTACAAAGCAAAAACTGAATTCCTCCATGTGGAAACAAGGGCACCCATTGACATTCATTGATGCTTACTGAGCATTTATAGAGACCAACCAGTGGCGGTGAGCACGGTGAGGCGGCGGCTGCTGCGTCCCAGCAGCAATGTGTGAGCGGCGCCCCACCGGGAAGGGGCGGCCAACCTGTTGCGTCTGCTGTCACCTAGCGGCAGTGCCCCACACTGCAGCTCTGTCCCGGCTTCCCTGACAACTCGTACAATTAACTTTCTCTTTCTCCCTTTCTTCCTTTCTCCCCTTCCTTTCCTTCCCTTCCTTTCCTTTCTCTCTCTTTCTCTCTCTCTCTCTCCTTTCCTTTCCCTTTCCTTTCATTTTCCCTTTCCCTCTCCTCTCCTTTCTCCTTTCCTTCTTCCTTTCTTCCTTTCTTCAAAGACCGGCAATTTCTCAAATCTTGGAAAAATTAACTCATACCCTTCCACACGTCCCAAGATACTTGTTGCTGCATTTTCGTCTCGGCAGAGCTCTATTTCTCCATACTAAACCAGCACAAGGCAGGTTGGACCTTCCTATGCTTCGTTTAACGATTTTTGAGATGAAACACGGAGCAACGTCCGCACCCCCATCTTCCCGTTATAACTATCCTACACTGCAGGCACTGAATACCGAAAAAGCTTTTTTAACTGAACTCCGCTGCTCCCCACTTGCTTGCCCTCTCGGGATAACTGTTTCACGACACATTTGTAGAGAACTCAGTAAATTATCCCCGCAGGGACCGCGAATTGCCGCCGCCGCCGCCCGACCCTACCTGCGCGGCGCACCCGCCTCGCGGCGTCCCGCTGCTACGGCAACACGGACCCGCCTCCTCCTGCTCCCTTTGCCGGCCTTCCTCTCATCCTGGCTGCCGATTGGTCTCAGAATCCTTCCCGCTGACCAATACGAGAAGAACACGGCTGCTCTGCGCCCTCCTCCCTCTCTCCTCAGCCAATGAGCACGGGGAACCGGCAGTGCCTTCCAGCCGCCGGCGAACTACGACTCCCAATAGGCTCCGCGGCGGGCGGGGCGTTCGCCGACGGCCGCCGCCTGTTTACCGAAGCGCTGCCGGACGGGCAGTGCTGCCGGCACCATGCAGGCACTGTCCCCGCGCTGGGCGCCGTTCGCACTGAGAGCGGCGGGCGGGTGGTGCCGCGGCTGCAGCGGCTCCGCCGAGCTCGGCGGCCCTAAGCCGCTGAAGGAGTGGACGCTGGTGGTCGGCCCGCGGGGGCGGCTGCGGGTGCGTCTGCCGTGTCAGGTGAGCGTGCGGCCGCTCGACCCGCAGCGCTACCCGGGCGCGGACCGCGTGTTGGTCACCGTCAGCGGCGTGGAGCGGAGCGCCCGCCGCCACCTCGAGCACGTCAGCGTGCGCTACGACGAGGCGTTGCAGCTGCTGGCCATCGCGGCCGAGGGCATGGACGGCAAGGCTGCCGTGGACGTCCGGACGCCGGGGAAGTTCGGTGCGTGACGGGGCGGTGGGGCTCCGCCGGGGCGGGGCTGTGATGCGGCTTGCTTCGGACTGCCGGTAGTGCCTGAAGGGTAACTAATGCGGGGAGCTGAGATTCACCATGACTCCTCGGCGTACCAAAGGAAAAGTCGTTTGTTTTGTTTCGAGTGGTTATTCAAGGCTCTGAGTCATCTGCTGCCCTGTTGCAGCAGATGACGTGCTATGCCATGCTCTGGTAGTGGTGAATAATCCCGTCCGATATAAGCTTCATATGTGTCACCTGTGAGTTTCTAGGCCACTGTGTTGTGGTTTTTTTTGGTTACCACTTCTCCAGGCTTTTATGGCAAAGATGTGCTGAACCTTCAATCTGTTTACTGTTACCTGCTTTGTCTCAGGACAGCCATACTGATTGCTCTGATGAGTACAGCTGGCCCATTGCTGTGTACAGCAGTTAACTCAGGGCAGAATAAGAACTGGACAGACAGAAACAATGCTTCACCCAGGAGTACTCTCAGTTGTCAGCTGTCATGGCCTGTTACAGACTCACAGAGGAGCTCTGGGAAGAAGTGCTTGTCTGTGAAAAGCTGATTGACAAACTTCCTGTCTTCTGACAAAGAGATTCACAGAATCACAGAATGGCCAGGGTTGGAAGATACCTCAAGGATCACGAATCTCCAACCCCCCCACCACATGTAGGTCCACCATCCTCCCCATTTAATACTAGACCAGGCTGTCCAAGGCCCCATCCAATCTGGCCTTGAACACCTCCAGGGACAGGGCATCCACAACTTCTCTGGGCAGCACCTCACTACTCCTGTGAAGAATTTCCCACTGACATCCAACCTAAATCTTCCCTCCCTCAACTTAAAACTATTTCCCCTTGTCCTGCTGTTATCTCCCCTTTCAAAGAGTTGACTCCCCTCCTGTTTGTAGCCTCTCTTTAGGTATTGAAAGACCGCAATGAGGTCACCCTGCAGCCTTCTTTTCTCCAGATTCATTAGATGTGCCATTGAATTTCCTCTGATTTTTATCATGCAGGTGTACAATTTGTCAGTCAGCTTTCAGTACTCTGAATAAGTCAGTTGATGAACCTGGCTGTTTGTACTTGTTTCTAAATTCACCAAGTGTTGGGGATAATTCATCGTTTATAGTTAAAAAAAAACAGAGAACAAGTATAGAAGTAAAGGCCTTGTCAAAGCCTTCTGAGAATCCAAGTTGGTTGTTTCTAAACAGCTATTGTCTGTTGATTGCCTCTTTTACTGAACTGCAGCAACATTAGGTGGCAGAAATGCCCTCTCTATCAGAATTCTGTAGATTTTACTTTTTTTTTTTTTTTTTTTTTTTTAAGAGTTGTCTATCTGTTATGTTCTTATGCTTTTTTTTTTTTTTTCTCCTGGCTGGCAATTATAAACATTACTTTGACTTCTCTATAGCTCATTGATAGGGTTCCTCCCAGGAATACAGTCAAACCAAGATCCTTCATCTGATTAGGCTTCACCTATACTTCATTTTCTCCGGGGTGTTTCGTGTTGCTCCTTGTTACTCTCTTATGGAGTGCAAGGAGACAATTCATTGTGTTAAGACCTGGAGAATCTCAGCTTTGATGAAGAGTTTCAATGTGTGGAGCCTCTTCTAAAGTTCTCAGCATTGAATTCTAATACAAAGAACTCATTTAGCCTTTGTCCTGTTTTTGAGATTATATTCTTATTATATTTGGAACATCACCAGCTCTGCAGACAGTCTCATATGATAGTCTTTTTCCTTTTGACGTTCTTGAAATAAGCTTCATTAACTTTTAGGTCTCTAAGCTAATTGTTCCGCTTAATGTTGTGGGAAGATCATACAACTCGAGTGTCCTATACAGTCTGGGTTATAGTCAAATTCTGCTACTTGCTGTTGGTTACATCTTAATTAGCATGATGCTGTTGTCTCATCATGCTGTTAATCAGAGATATTCAGAGATATATTTCCTAAAATGCAAATATTTTTTGTACCCAGTTAAGCAGAATTGCTGCATGTCAGTAAGGTTCCACTCTGTGTCCTCTCGGTTCTGGTTTGATTTTCTGGGGTCTTCTGAGTTTATGTTTGGGTTTTTCCTCTCCTTTGGTTAGGAAAGAAGTGTTTTGTGAGCAAATATCAGTGCATCAGCACAGGATCTTACTCCTTGGAAGGTGTGCCTCAATCTAGAATGTATCCTAGATGGCTCTAGACTCACAGAGTCACTGAAGTTGGGAAAGATGCTCAAGGTCATCCAGTCCATGTGAACATTCTGGCTTATCTCCGTCCTTCCTTGAGTGCATGAGGATGTTGACAGCAGCCTGTGCAGACTCTTTTATCTCAGCTCCCATCTGTCAACTGTAAGAAGTTGAGTAGTTTTTACATTATGTCTTTCCAGCATTCTAGCTAGCTTTCTGGTTTTGGAAGTGTTTCATAGCAGCTTTAGCAGTTTAGGTTGGAGCTTATTCAGGAAGCTCCAACATACAACCAAAAGAACATGTGCAGAAGGTGCTAGATGACAAGTTTAAATACATACTTTAACCCAGAGGCAACTTAGCCTTACTGGCCTGTCTACTAAGTGACTCTGTTTCTGTCTCAGTGTCTAGTCTTGGATTGGGCAGTCTTTCAATATAATACACATCCTCTCTGATACATTTAGCCTGCGTAGATGACAGATGGCAATTAATTTCCCTTTAGCAGAATTTGTATTGATTTATTTTACTTCAGCTTACCTATATTTTAGTTGTTTATTTCAGGGGCAGTGTGTGTATATAGCTGTAGGTTGTGAATCTGCTCTTCATGCAAAGCGAAGTGTCTCCTCAGTGTCTTGGTATCTAGAATTGCATGTGCTGTTTAACCTTGAAATCATCTCTTTCTATTTAGTATCCTAAGGTAAACAAGCTGCCTTCTCTTCCTATATAGTTATTCTGTTCTTAGAATCATAGGATAATTCAGGTTAGAAGGGACCTCAGACATTTCTAGTTCCAGGTTTTGAAAATCTCCAGGGATGAAGATTATACACGTTCCTTCAGCAGACTGTACCGATGCTCTTCTCTGCTACATCCTGCTTACAACACAGGCTTCTATACTGAAGTCATGTGGGAGAACCGTGAAGCTTGAAATGTGGCAAGGCTTCACTGAGAATACCAGCACTCTGTCCTCAAGGGTGTTCTGGTGCTAGGCCAACTTGTAATCCACTGTGGTGTTTTTTGTTGTGGTGTCAGTTCTCTCCTTGGAGAATTCAATTCTTCCACGTTAGTTTTATGAAAGCCCATAGGATCACTTTCAGTTTTAGCTAAATAATGTAGATTCTTTATCTTTTTCATAAATGTTAATGGAAAGCAGATATGAACGTTTTACCCACATCTTGCTTTTCTTAAGCGTAAACAACCATTGAGTAGGGAAGCAAAGATTGCTCACACTTACTAAATGTGACAGACTTGCAAGCTCAGAGTAGCAAATACTGAGGCTATCACAGTAAATGAAGCTGAATGATTTTAACATGTATATGCATGTAATGGTAAGCTTCCTCTGTGAACTGAGAATTGGATCAGTACCATAAAGTACTTCCTGTGTTCAGTGCTGCTGAGTCACTTGGAAGTAGGCTGGTAAAGTGTTTAAATACGAAAGCTAAAGGTGGTGTTTCTGAGTACCCCTGCCTACGTTCCCATGCTAGTGGTCTGTTTTCCCAGCGCACATCAAGGTGTGGGTTGTTTGCACCTCAGAGATATGTGTTCTTCAAGGTTTGTGTGGTGGAAGTTGGCAGTCAGTGCCAACTTGGAGCTTTGGCACTGAAATTATATCCTCCTCCTTGTTTGAGGTTTCATTACCAATATTATCCAGCTCTTAGCTGGATAATTTTTTTTTTTTTTTTTTTTTTTTGAGTCATTTGTTCAGAAGACAGCAGCATTCCATTCCATTCCTGCTGATTTTTTCGTAGATCGAGGCTAGCAGTGCACTGTGACTCTGTGAAGATGGTGTGTTTGCAGGCCAGGAATCCTGTTTTTCTTGACAACTTACACTTGAACCTT